TGTGTGGTGGTGGCAGTCAGAACTTGGTCACCTATATTATCCTGACTACCAAAGTTAGAATTTAGATAAGATCTCAAAACTTAAACTTATTAGTTTTTTAAAGGATCCCCGAGTTTTCAGTCTTCTGGTATTTTCTAAATTTTTACTTTCTTTGGGGTCTCAGTTTCATWTGCCAGTATAAGACTCCTTCGTCCCTATCTAACACAGATACTAGGACATATCATCTCCAATTATTTTGATGAATTATTTTCTTATATTACTCTTCATATGTAGACTTACTTATAAAAGAGACAACTTTAAAGAGTCCCTAATGTTAAGTTCCMAAAGTAGTCATTTGCTTCCTTTGGATTCATTGTTAGTAGTTTGATATGTCACTTCTTTGGGTGCGTGGGAAAATGAGTGTTCATGGAAAACCTTCAATTTTACCTCTTTTGAATTTCTGCTTTCCTTCCTGTTCTTCAGCTGTCTGCAGTCCTGAATTCATTGTGTGTATAATGCGTGAGAAGAATCCAGTGAGTGAGAGTCACCAAATGCTGCTCTGAGTCCTTCCTCAACAATGGACTAACCCTAACCCTAACCCTAACCCTAACCCTAACCCTTTCCGCTCTACAAGTTGATGACACATATGCTCCCAAAGAATTTAATGTTGAAACATTCACCTTCCATGCAGATATATGCACACTTCTGGAGACTGAGCAACAAATCAAGAATAAATGTGAGCAGTATTTTATTATCACATGTTTGTAKTCTTGATAATGAGAACTGTTAATTAAAAGGAGCAAACTGTCTCATGTAATGATTATATTMCTTAGAGGAAAGTACTTAAATATTAGCCTTATTAAGTTGATAAAATTGTCAAGAAAAAAATGAATGGCTTTTTCCCCTTAGAGGGCAAAAACTATATTAGACTCTTACCTGCATCATAGTGATATTTTGGATGAAAACCATAGTAGAATAAGATCATAGGCTAGGTCCAGTAGAAAAGGATGAACATTTAACTGATGAATTTGTGTCCAGAGCAAATTAGTTGTATAAATCACAGGGGGATTTATTTCTAGGCATGAAGGGTACTCAAAGTTTGTTCTAGAGTGACTCCACACGTGAGACAAAACCCTGTAATGTGACTTTTGAGAATGACAATTGAATAAAAACATCTAGAAAATGTGAGTTTTGAAGCTTCACTCCCCAATGCACAGGGTGAGAATAGCATGAACTTTAGCAAGAGAAAGTTGCTGTCATCTCTGGTGGCCTGTAATCATGGTTAGGAGTTAAAAATAATAATACAAAACCTATTATTCCCACACAACGCACTCTCTGTATCTATTGTCTTTTCAGATGTCAATGAAGGAGAACCACTGCCTTACACTTGTTTGGACAGTCTTAACTCTTGTAAACTCCCCATAATTAACCTTTAATAGGACAAATTTCACAGACCAACTTTAAAGATTTTTATAGAAGAAGATTTTACTGAAATTCAAGGTCATTAAAAATTTAGGAATTATTTAAAACTCTTTAATATCTGTAAAAGTCAATGTGACATAACTTCTACAATTTGAACGTCTAAATGCTATGACATATGCTTTCTGGAGATCTACTGAAACTATGTAAAACATYGAGTGATTTGCACTGATTATCTTATTTGATCCTCCCACCAGCCCTAGTGAATCGGATTTTATTATCCTCACATGAGGTTAAAATGGTTTGCCTGACCTCAAACCCAGAGCTGCCTGGCTCTAAGATCTATAATCTTTTTTTGGTACTGAAGATTGAACCAGGGGTGCTTAAMCATTGATCCATATCCCCAATTCTCTTTTATATTTTATTAAGAGACAGGGTCTTGCTGAGTTGCTTAGGGCCTCACTAAGTTGCTGAGGCTGGCTTTGAACTGAGGTCCTTCTGCTTCAGCCTCCTGAACTGCTGGGATTACAGGTGTGTACCATGGTGTCCCACAAGATTCATAATCTTAAATGATGGCACTGATATTCTTATTGTCTTAATTTTTCTTTGTGTCATTAAACTTTTTCTTGCTGTKTCTTTCATTTTCTGTTCAAATGCAGAGCACTTGCTGAGCTGGTGAAACACAAGCCCACAGCAACAATGGATCAACTGAAAACCGTGATGGGGGATTTCGGAGCTTTTCTAGACAAGTGCTGCAAGGCTGACGACAAGGAGGCCTGCTTCTCCGAGGAGGTGCTGGAGATGCTTTCATTTTAATATTTCCAACTTTCATTTTTGTGCATTTGGTCAGGTCAGAGGTTAGGGACTTAGGTTTTGAAAGATGCGTGGAACAGAGATCTTATTCTATGAACAATTGTCTTACAAAATGAGTTTAGTAGTTCTTGGTTTTATCTCCTGCTGCACTGTGGAATACTACTAAATTTTTGTAATGTCTCTTCTGTTCCAAATTTGTAATCGGTATAAATAGATAGACATATTTATAAGGCCTAAAATGTTTTGGCCAGTAAAGCAAAGCATTAATTTATTTAAACATTTTTCTGAAAAGTGCTGGTTTCTCCTTTAATTGAATTTTATAAGTTAGTAGAGGTGGGAATGAACATTTAAATATCAAAATCATTTAATAGTTACCCCTATGGCCTGACTCTCTCTCTCTCTCTCAACCATCTCAGGATGGTTGTTGCTGAACTTCCTTGTAGTGATCCTGGTAGTAAATGACAATTGCATGTACAATCACTTTATAATCACTTATTTTTTGTATAACCTGCTATTTTTGTATTCTATGGTAATGCTAATATTTTCTCAACATCTGTCATTTCTTTGTATTCAGGACCCAAAATTGGTTGCTGCAAGTAAAGCTGCCTTAACATAAAAACATCACAAGCATCTCAGGTAATTATACTTTAGATTTTTAAAAAAGYAATTATAATTACTATGATTAAAAAAAACAAAGATGACTGAACACTTGTCAAGAGCCATATGGACAAGCACCAAACACTACTCTTAGCTCTTTATATATATTAACTTATATAATTATCAAAATAATGTCTGAGTTGGGTACTCTTGTTATTATTATTTTGTAGATGAATAAATGGACACATAGATAAAAGGGTAGGTTACATAATTTATCTACTTAAGGGGCAACCAAGATAGTAAGAGGTAGAGTCGTACTTCAAAATTCCAGCAAGAGCTTAAGAGTTTACTATTGTCCTCTTCTGATATATGTGACCTGTGTGCAGAGTCCTCTCAGTGATGCCTCAYGAGCAGAGACTCTAGGTATTAGAACTATATGAAAGAAAATTTTTGCAGATTAAAAACATCAATGAATATCAGTGGATTCACACAGTTCAACCTAAATACAATTCAATAAGGGATCTATCCTATATGAACTTGTACTATAGAATGAATAATGTGCTGCTAAATTTTCAACATGTTAATGTGCTAAAGTACAATAGAATTTCCCTTCTTATGACAAAAGGGCCACTTTAAAACATACATATTTGAGCATAAACATGCTTGACTATGTTTTTGGTTAATATTTTGCAGCAGAATATAAAAAATAGAATAGCACTGAAAAAAAATATTGGTAAAACCAGGTTGTTTAACCATATAATAATTCTTACTTGTGCATTCAAGCCAAGAATAGCCGTTTTGTATCTCCAAAATTTGGTCATTCTCAAATGTGATGTGTTTCAGTCCTAAGTGGAAAAATTTCTTCCTAGGGCTCCAAATCTGAGCTTTTTTTTTGTTTAGGTATGACTTAGGTAAGAGTAGGTGCTAGATAGCCCTGAGGAGTGGTGATAGAGGCCTCTTGAGTCTGGTGGAACCAGTGATGAAGAGGGGGCCTCACTACATGTTGGTGTGTCCTGTGCCCTGGTCCAACAGAAAGGGAACCCAGCCAAGCCTTGGAAGGTTTAAATTGTTTCTGCTGGTGGAAATTGACGAAAGACAACTGAAGCAATTTAGCATTAGTTGTAACAGATTGGAAAAATGTATGATGTCTTATAAATAACTCTTCTATTTTCTCCTTTTGTTTTCCAGTCTGCCCAGAGAAGAAGAGAAAGAGACTAAGACTTTATTCATCTGTTTGTCTTATCTGTTGGTGTAAAAATCAACACTCTAAGAAACATAACTTTCTTCAAACATTTGTCCTCTTTGCTCTATGTTATAATTAATAAAAAATAAAAAGAATCTAATATTGTGGTCCAGGACTGTTATTTTCCAAAAGTGTGTTTCCATCCTGAAAAATTTTGTGGATCTGTGAAAGTTTCAATTTTCTGTCTCTCACCCCACTTCAGCAGAGGACTTCTAGTTCCTTAGAGGCTACTTCAGGAAAAGAAATGTTAATTCTCATCTGAGTTATGGATTATAAACATTCTAAATAGCATTTTAACATTATGAAAGAATAACACCTGTGGCAAGGGTAGGGCACTTACAGCCTGCCCCTTCCTKTTTTACTACTGGGACTCTCTGACTACCAGGGAGGGACAAAAGAGATGGAGATGACTTTAAAGCTGGCTAATTAAATTTAAAAAACATGACTTTCTTGGAGAAATTTAAGACAATTTAGAATGCCAATACACGAAACCCATAATAAGTTTTAGAGAAGCATTATTGGAAGAAGARGTTGGGTGATCTGGAGGTACTTATACTCGGGAGTGATTAAACTATATTGCACTAATGAAGTATAAGCGTCTTTATAAGTTTCTTGTAAAGAAGTTGAGATGCTATACCCAATCTGGGCCTCTTTTCCTTTTTCCCGGAAGTAATTACTCATCTCGTACTTTTACCTAGGAGTTTAAAATACTTAGTCATTTATAGTCTTATTAGTTTGAACATTTTATATTGACTTGCTTACTATTTCACAACTTGTTCTTAATAAATAGTGCTTTATAGTTTCATTTGAAGACTGATGCTTGCACAAATTAAAAAAAAAAAAAGTTCCCTTCTCTTCTTGTTTTGTTCTGTACTCCCACATCCCATGCCTCCATCCCTGTGCAACCCCTGCTTTGGCCTCAGGTCAAATGAATCAAACACTTAACACATTTGTTGCAACCATCCCCAAAGCAGGAAAGAGTCTAGAGGGGAGAATGAAGACTGGGGTCTCTAACTGAAGACCTGAGCAGCWGACCTGAAAATTCTGAGCAAGATGCTGCCCCTGAGCTGTACCCAGATGAGACTAGTCTAGGTAGCTTCTCTGGATGGCATTGCYAGCACTTCCAGTCACAGGCATCCAAGGGGGACTTAAAACTTTTTGGGAAAATATGTTCCAAATGCACATTCCTTGAGCCCCAGTTTTTCCTGCTTCCCATAGGGTCAGCCAGATTCCTAGAGAAAATCAGACAGTCTGAGCACAAGGAGTCTGGGGCCTGGCTCTGGTTCCAAAAAGGTGGCCTGGAAGATGTATCAATCCCTTGTCTGTCTGTCCCAGYATTTATTCTGCTGTATGATGCAGGATACTGGACCACCAATATGGTATAGGCCCACTGATTATGTGGACCTGTGTGTGAAAAGCTATTCTTATATCAGGAGGCACATGATATATCAGTGTGCTCTGTCACTAGAGATGCCAGGTTGATCACTTCACCATGGTTCTCCATTGTAATATTAGTTTCCTCCATTACATATTCTAGTTTGGGGAAGAGTGTAAGTAAATTCAGTTCATACTCAAGTGAGGGACGGCAGGGGATTAGGCTTCTGGAATTCTCCATAAATTATTTAGAATTTTTCTGTAAGGAAGTTTTGTTATTTATTTATTCAATTGTTTATATCGATGTAAGCTCATCTATATTTGTCTTATACTTTGGGCTATGATCCAATGCTACATTTCTTATAGCTCAAATTATTCCAGATTTTGCTATTGAGACTATTTTCAGTTTAACTCCTGTATCCCTCTAACATGCCCCCATACTTTGTTTTTTGAGTACCGTTTCCTTCCTAGCATTATAATATGCTGAGAATTCATTTTATAGTTTCCCTTCTCAGGTGCCTGAAATAGCCATTTCTCCAAAGGAAGCCTGATTCTTTTTATTAAAGAATGGTATTACAAAGATATGAGTACTGGTTGTATTCACTGCTAATGATGTATCACTGCTTCTAGAGCTAAGAAATTTAGATATGTATACTAATCCTTATATAAATATACACTTATGAATAATTGCATCTCTTTATCTATCTACATATCTATCTACCTATCTACAAGTATGAAGTCATTACTGATGTCTCTGACCCTAATTCAGAACTACAAATTTATTCCTGCCCTTATCCTTGTCCATTTGTAACACCCTCCTTTGATAACAAGGACTAATCTCTCTCTACCCTCTATTTAYTTATCTGTTCAAGTCTAGGGTACTTGAGAAGGAGTTTCAGAATTATTGATCCACGCCTCCACGAAAATCAAATTTACCACATAAAGCACAGTATTTAGTATTTATGTACAGTTCCTTTTGTCTTTAGCTTTAGAGTTTTCAGTCAAAACATTGCCTTTCAAAGTTACTTATATCAGCTCCATTTATGCTTTACCCTCTTCTGGAGTTAGGGCAGGTGATTTGACATTGAACAAAAGATGAATTTAGGTTTCTAGCTTTGACTGACTCTTGGACTTAAGCTGACTGACCTATTCAGCACTTCTTTCCTGTATTTCAGCAGAACAGCCTCTATGGACAGTACAGGTAGGTGGTATGTGTCTTTTGCCCAATGCAATCTACCAATGGCACCCAGGATGGTTACTTCAATCTCTCCACAAGCTCCACATTAAGTGTCTTGAAGTTTTTAGGGGTGGACTTGACCATCTCTTCCAAGGGCTTTGGAGACCATTGATCAGCCATGTCAGTGGGACCTTCTAGTTTATGTCCTCTCTTGGCTTTACATTGTTACACTGTACTTCCCCKGATTGGTCTTAAGCCCCAGAAATATCTCTTACAGTAAAGTGATGAGTTTTCTCACTTTACTATAGGTCTTCATCTATCCTCTTTTTGGCAGCTATATAAGGTAGGAGTGGAATGATCACTGAAAGGGATCACATTCCATGATTCTGTGATAGTGATTCTTAGGTTTAAGAGTTTAGAGGAAAACCTGGTTAGAAGATGTGTTKTTCTTTGTTTTTGCTAAAAAAATCTTAAAGATAAATTTACTATGATTAGAGACTTGCACTTGTAGTTCTCATCGAGTGATTGAAAGTCAGAATTCATGGTAGCATAACCAATGAAAATGGTCATAAATAATGATGTAACCAGCATTAAATTAAATAAATTATAATAGAGAACTGTAGGGAAAAGAAGATTTATTTATGTCAATACAAACAGATTCCCAAAACCATTAAGATATTGCTACATTTTTCTTGAGATAAAAAATACAAAATCATAACTTACTCCTGGACTTCCAAAGTAGAAAATATGGCAAATTGAATTGCATGCATTTTTGATCATGAAAATTTATGCTTTAAGATAATAATAATAAGTTTATTTAAGTATGTGAAATAATGAAAATTACCCCTAAATTAAATTTAACATGAACTGAATATTCAAAACTGTCAGACATAGTAATGCACCATATGGTGGTTTCACTTTTGCATCACTCTAATTGATCTAGGGTTATTCAGATTACCTCTCTTGGGTGAGTAATTGATGAATAAATAGATGAATACTTGCCTGGCACCAAAGAAAGTACTTTAATATTTTGAGATATATCTTGGGAAAGGAAAAATCTTCTAATGAAAGATTTGTATCATTTAATAGAATGCTACTTATGATGATTGATGGATAGGTGGAATAATAGCATCTTGTTCAATTTATTGAATTCCTGTGAACCTGGTGTTATTTCTTCAACACTAGACAATGGAGCAGTTATCTGATCAATAACTTAAAAATGTTG